TACAACTCACCTCCCACCCTGCATGGGGCCAAGCAGGGGACAGAGCGTGTCTGTGCCATGGCAGCCACGTGGCTGAGGGACTCCCGAGCTCAGGGGATGGAGCTGCAGGGACCCCTAAACTCCTTTCCAGCTGCACTGCAGGGTGGTGAGGTACAGCATCTCTGCCCGCTCTGGGGGAGGCACAGCATCCCTGCCCAGCCTAGAAGAGCTGGGAAAAGCCCTGGGATGCCCTTGGCACAGTTCTACCAGCGACACCCTGGCAGGAGCCCAGTACGCGGGCAGACTCCTGGCTCCAGTGGTTCCTTCTCCCTTTTCACGAGATGTCCTCCTGGGGCAGACACTGCCCGTGTCCTCCCCTCAGCTGCTGCCAAAACTGCGCCTGTGTTCTGCCAGGGCTGGGATTTCCTGGAATGTTTAGGCTGGAGTTGGGAGAGTGCTCCTGGAGGGGCCTTCCCTGCGCCGAGGAATCACAGAATCATGGAATGGTTTGGGTTGGAAAGCACCTTTAAAGACCATGCAAATGCACCCCCTGCCACAGGTAGGGACACCTTCCACTAGACCATGTTGCTTCAAGCCCTGTCCAACCCAGCCCTGAACACTTCCAGGGATGGGGCAGCCACAGCTTCTCTGGGTAACCTGTGCCAGGGCCTCACCACCCTCACAGGGAAGAATTTCTTACCAATATCCAATCAAAACCTATTCACAATTTAAAGTCATTCCCTCTTGTCCTGTCATTCCAGGCCCTTGTCTAAAGTCCCTCTCCAGCTCTCTTGGAGCCCCAAAAGAAAGCCAGGGGCAGGTTGTCCCACAGCGAAGCGTTGAGTGGCAGAGCTGGGGACCAGGGCCGGGGGGGGGGCAGCGGGGACAGGGAGCAGAAGACAGAGGGAGGAGAGAAAGACCAAGAGAGGGCCCAGAGCTGTGGAGCCTGACAGAAGGATGTGTTGTCTGCCACGAGCAGGAGCTGCTGGCTGAGGCTGGGGGTCTGGGAAGGAGCAGGATGAAATAAAGTCCTGCTCCTTTCACCCTGCAACACACTGCTGCCAGGGCCCTGCAGCAGCAAACTGGGCTGGAAACAGGGGGAAGCAGCACTAGCAGGCAGGAGGCAAAAATGTGTCAGGACAGAAAACAAGGAGCAGCTTAGGTCTGCAACAGCAGGGGATAAGGTTGCTCAGAGGAAGCATACACACACCTGAGGGGCTGAGCAGGGAAGTTCTAGTCCCACTTCCAGAGCCCAGCTCGAGCTGTGCCAGAGGAGGATGCGCAGGCACCGGATGGCCAAACCTGCAAAACAAGGCAGGGCTTTCCTTGTGCCAGGAGCAGTGACACGTGTCCCACGCAGTTCCACGTGGCACTGCGAGAAGGCAGGGCAGTGTGCTCTGCCTGCACCCCGGCTCTGCCTGCAGGGGAACGGAGGAGGGAGGGTCGGAGCACTGGGCCCCCTGGGGCCCTCGGATCTGACAGCAGTGGCTGAAATGAACAAGAAATGGGCTGGAAGCAGGAAGGCTCACAACAAACTGTTTCTCCACCAGCACTTCAAAGTTGTTAAGGGACATCCCAGCCTGGGAACAGCTTCCCCCCATCCCAGGTGTCACGGCACATCATCACATCCTCGCTGAGGTATTCCCTGGCTGCCTGCATCCTAAGCATTGCCTCCCTGGGAGCTCCTGTCCTCTGCATGCCAGGTGCACTCATCCTTGGGGACCAGCAACCCCTGCATCCCCAGGGCTGCAGCCCCAGGGGCCTGAATCTCTGGAGCCAGTACTCCCCGCATCCCTGAGTCCCTGGGTGCTGCATCCCTGGAGCCAGCATCCTGCACATCCCAACTGCTGCATCCCTAATAACCTGTGTCCCTGGAGTCAGTATCCCGTCCCTTGGGTGCCTGCATCCCTGTGTGCTCCCGCCCCTGGGACCACCATCCCCGGGGCCAGCATCCTCTGCACTCTGACTGCTGCAAATCCCAGTGCCTCAATACTTGAAGCCAGAGTCCCTGCACGTCCCCTGCACCCTCCGGTGCCCCCGCACCTCCTGCGCCCCCGCCGCTGCAGCCCATCCCCCGTGTCCCCGGGGCGGTGTCTCGGGGTTCCCGCCGCCGGGATGGGCACTCCCTCGGGGACCATACCCGCCGCCTCCAGCCGCTCCACCCCCCGGGACCCCTCCCGAGTGCCGCAACCCCGCGGCTCCCCCCGCCCCTCCCGCCTGCGCGGTGCGGGAGCGCGGTGCGGGGGCGGACGCACCGCCCC